GTTGCAGGTAAAGAGAAGGAAAGAAGAGCTGCAGCCCTTTGGGGAGCCCAGACCTGGGAGTGCCCTGAGCCAGGGCTGTGACTCTCTCTGCGGTTCCTGGTGTCTCCAACCTTCTGGGTGCCACCGTGTTCCCTGGTGCCAGCTGTGGATGCTGCTTGTGGTGTTCCTGGTCCAGCTGCAGCCTCACAGAGAAAGAACTGATGCCCATGCTGGCATCTGGAACTGCGTGCCCTGCTGCAGCCCCTAGCATGTCTGATTGCGCAGTGGCTGGACCCCACACTTGCTCACATACCCCTTGCTGCTTCATGCAGTCTCCCTTGGCCAGCATAGGATACAGGCCAGTGGCATAAGCCAAGTGTAGCCGGCCAGGCCAAATAGGCGGGATGAGCCCAGCAGGCCCGAGCAAAACTCTGGCACAGGTGCCACCAGCCACAGATGTTTCTGGCCAGAAAAGTGACACCCCCAAAGATTCTGTAACATTGGCATCATAAGAATGATAAATCTTGTGGCTTGGCCTGGTGGCTGATGGAATTGTGTGCTTTAAATGGGTAAATTGTATGGTATATAAATTGTATCTCAGGGGTGTTTAATGTTTTATCACTGGCGAGGTGCGATGACTCATGCCTGTAATTCCAGCATTTTGGGAGGCTGAGGTGGGAGGATTACTTGAGGACAGGAATTTGAGACCAGCCTGGGAAACATAGCCAGACCCCATCTACACAACATTTAAAAATTAGCCAGGCATGGTGGCATGTGCCTGTAGTGCCAGCTAATCAGGATGCTGAGGCAGGAGGATCACTTGAGCCCAGGAGTTTGAGGCCGCAGTGAGCTATAATTACACCACTGCACTCCAGCCTGGGCAGTAGAGTGAGACTCTGTCCCTAATTTAAAAAAAAATGTTGTCTTCTAATTCATGAACATGAAGTGTTTTTCCACTGATTTAGATCTTTAATTTCTTTAATGGCGTTTTATAATTTTCAGAGTATGTTTTGTACTTTTTTTTTTTTTGTAAATTATTTCCTTCTAATTCTGTTATAAATGGAATTCTTTTCTTAGTTTCATTTTGAGATTATTCATTGCAAGTGTATAGACATAACGTTGATTTTTGTTTATTGTCCTTGTACCCATCAGTCTTCCTGAACTAATTTTATTCCCATGATTCTTTTTTTTTTTTTTAAATTTGAGATAGTCTCGCTCTATTCCCCAGGCTGAAGTGCAGTGATGTGATCTTGGCTCACTGCAACCTCCGCCTCCCAGGTTCAAGCAATTCTCATGCCTCAGCCTACCAAGTAGCTGGGATTACTGGCACCTGCCACTACGCCCAGCTAATTTTTGTATTTTTAGTAGAGACAGGATTTTGCCATGTTGGCCAGGCTAGTCTTGAACTCCTGACCTCTGGTGATCCGCGCGCCTCGGCCTCCCAAAGTGTTGGGATTACAGGTGTGAGCCACCGTGCCCAGCCTATTCCAATAATTCTTTAGTGGATTCCTTAGGATCTTCTATGTATGAGATCATGCCATATTCTAATAGGGATAGTTTTATTTATTTATTTATTTTGAGACAGAGTCTCACTCTGTTGCCCAGGGTGGAGTGCAATGGCGTGACCTCAGTTCACAGCAACGTCTGCCTCCCGGGTTCAAGTGATTCTCCTGCCTCAGCCTCCCTAGTAGCTGGGATTACAGGGATGCGCCACCACACCCGGCTAATTTCTGTATTTTTAGTAGAGACGGGGTTTTGCCGTGTTGTCTAGTCTGGTCTCGAACTCCTGACCTCAGGTGATCCACCTGCCTCAGCCTCCCAAAGTGCTGGGATTACAGGCATCTGCCACCGCACCTGGCCCTCTAATAGGGATAGTTTCATACCTTCCTTTTAAATACTGATGCCTTTCAATTTTTTTTTTAACATGCATGCTCTGAGTAGAATCCGTAGTGCAAAGTTGAATACAAATGACGAGAGCAGATTTCCTTGCCTTGTTCCTGATCTTAAGGGGGAAAGCATTCAGTCTGTCACCATTAAGTATGATATTACCTACCTATGGGTTTTTGTAGATTTTAAATTTCCTGTCTTCCTTATTAGAAAAAAGATTTTTTTTTTTTTTTTTGGAGACTGAGTTTCGCTCTTGTTGCCCAGGCTGGAGTGCAATGGGACGATCTTGGCTCACTGCAACCTCCACCTCCTGGGTTCAAGCGATTCTCCTGTCTCCGCCTCCCGAGTAGCTGGGTTTACAGGTACATGCCACCATGCCCAGCTAATTTTTGTATTTTTAGTAGCAACAGGGTTTCATCTTATTGGTCAAGCTGGTCTTGAACTCCTGACCTCAGGTGATCCGCCCGCCTCAGCCTTCCAAAGTGCTAGGATTACAGGCGTGAGCCACCACACCCAGCCAGAAAAAAGGTATTTTTAAAGAGCTGTTTTAGGTTCATAGCAAAATTGAGCAAAGAGTACAGTGAGTTCCCATATGCCCCTGCTTCTACACATGCAGAACATCTCCCACTATCAGCATTCCGTAAGAGAGTTGTACATTTGTTATATAACATTGGTGAACCTACATTGACATGTCATTATTACCCCAAATGCATAGTTTACGTTAAGGTTTACTCTTGGTGTTATACATTTTAAAGATTTTTGACAAATATATAATGACCTGCATTCAACATTTTGTGATATCATACAGAATAGTTTCATTGCCCTAAAAATTTCCTGTGCTGTGCCTGTTTCTTCATCCCTTTCTCCCCTGTGAGTACTGGCAGCCACTGATCTTTTTACTTTCTCCATAGTTTTGCCTTTTTCAGATTGTCATAGTTGTAATCATATGTATGTAGCCTTTCCAGACTGGCTTCTTTCACATAGTAATCTGCATTTGTTTCCTCCATGTCTCTTTGTAGCTTGGTAACTAATTTATTTCTAGTGCCGAATAATATTCCATTTTCTGGATGTACTACAGTTTGTTTATCCATTAATCTTCTAAACGATATCTTGGTTGCTTCCAAGTTTTGGCAGTTATGAATAAAGCTGCTTATAAAGATGTTTATATAAGTAAACGAAGATGTTTATATAAAATAAAGATGTTTATAAACATCTCCATGCAGGTTATTTTGTGGATATATGGTTTCAGCTTCTTTGGATAAATGCCAAGGAGTGTGATTGCTGCTTTATGTATGGTATGCTTAGTTTTGTAAGGAATTGCTGAACTGTTTTCCTGAGTGGCTGTACCATTTTACATTCCCACCAGCAATAAATGAGAGTTTCTTTTGCTCCATACCCTTCTCAGCAGGTTTTGGTATAGTCAGTGTTCTGGATTTTGGCTATTCTAATAGGCGTGTAGGGGTATGTTGTTTTAATTTGCAATTCCCTAATGACATATATTGTTGAGCATTTTTTCATGTGCTTATTTGCATCTGTATATCTTTTTTGGTGAGATGTCTGTTCACATAGGTTTCTTTTTCTTTCCTTGCTTTAATATCATGTTGTTTGTTATATTATTGTTGAGTTTTAAGCATTCTTTGTATAGTTTGGATAATTGTCTTTTGTCAGATGTGTACTTTGTAAAGATTTTCTCCCAGTCTCTAGCCTGTCTTCTGATTTGAAGTTTTCTAATATTTTGTGGACTTTTGCATCTATATTCATAAGTGATACTTGCCTGTAGTTTTCTCTATTTGTGATTTTTTATATCAGGTCAATACTAGTTTCGTAAAATGAGTTGGGAAATGTTGCCTCCTTTTCTGTTTTTTGAAGAGTTTGTGAAGAATTGATATTAGTCCTTTTTTAAATGTTTGTTATAATTAAGTGGTGAGAACATTTGGGCCTTTATGGGTAGCTTTTTTTATTGCTGATTTAATCTCATCAGTTGTTACAGATCTGTTCACAACTGTTTCTTCTTGAGTCAGTTTTAGTAGTTTGTGTTTTGGAATTTGTTCATTTCATGTAAGTTATTTAATTTTTTGGCATACAGTTGTTCATAGTATTCCTTTATAATCCCTTTATTTCAGTAAGTTTGGTAGTAATGTCCTCTTTTTCATTTCTGAGTCTAGTAACTTGAGTCTTGTTTCTTTTTTTTCTTGGTCAGTCTAGCCTAAAGTTTGTTCATCTTTTCTTCCCCCGCAGGTAAGTTGTTATACAATCCCTAGCAGATTCCAACTTGAATGGCCAAGTTCCTCCTTGATCATCTTTTTAAAAAATTAGTTTTTGGCCAGGTGCCTGTGGCTCATGCCCATAATCTCAGCACTTGGGAGGCCAAGGTGGGCAGACCACTTGAACCCTGGAGTTAGAGAACAACTTGGCAACATGACGAAACCCCATCTCCACAAAAAATTATCTGGGTGTGGTGGTGCGCACCTATAGTCCCAACTACCTGGGAGGCTTAGAGGGGAGGATCACCTGAACCTGGGAGGTTGAGGCTAAAGTGAACCATGATAGCACCTCTGCACTTTAGTATGGACAATGGAGTGAGACCCTATCTCCAAAAAAAAAAAAAAAAAAAAAAAAAGGAGGAAAAGAAAAAGAACTACTCTTTGGTTTTATTGATTTTTTTTTCCCCTATTGTTTTTCTATTTCCTATTTCATCCGTTTCATGAATTTCTGCCATAATCTTTATTATTTCCTTCTCCTTGATTTTGGTTTAGTTTGCTGTTATTTTCCCAGTATTTTATGGTGAAATGAAATATACTTTATTGGTAGTATGTTTTTTATTTTCAGTGTAATAGTTTAAATTTTCTTCTACTGGGAAATGTCTTGTAATATTTATAAACTGCAACTGGAAATGTTTTTATATCAAAGTAATCTTTATAGAGATTTCATGCTTTATAAGGAGCGGTTAGTATGCAAAAGGAGAGTGATTCTAGTGAAAGAACTCTTCTAGGAATATTTTAATGTGAGTAGTGTGTTAACAATACTGCCAGACTTCATAGTGTGAGAATGGGTTTATGGAGTTATAAGTATTGATGTTCTATTTGATAATGCATCAAAGAGATAAATAATATTCTTTATTTCTTCTTTTTTAGATAAAATCAGTGGTTCTGGAAGTAACTCTGATATGATGGAAAACAGCAAGGAAGAGGTAAGGATAATTATTTAGAGATATTTGTTAGTTACTATTAACCGACTAGAGCATATGTCGTTAGATTGCTTCTAGACACATGTATGTGTCGAGGGCTACTGATACCCAGTTGTCATTATGATACTTCAGTTTCGTTGTTTTCCAGTTTGAGAAGGTGTTCATTGTTTCTGTTATTGTGTGGTTCACTTCAGCAGTTTACCTAAAGTCAGACAGCTGAAGACTTTCCAACAGATAGATATTCAACTGTCTTTATGTTACCCCAGAGGTGTTTGAGGTGGATGTTATGGGCATGAACTTCATGGTTGTGAAATCTCTCAAAACTTGGTATCTAGAGTCTGCTAAGCATTATTATTAGCAACTCATAACAAGGTCCTTTGCCTGATACACAGGTCTACAACTATGGTTTTGGGAATTTTTTTTACCTATTGTAAAAAAACTGAATCCAGTAAAATATATTGATTATACTGGCAAAATGAGGGTAAGTTTAGTATCTCAAAGCAAGTTGTAGAAGTTACTTCATGCCAGATGTTAGCTTAGAGAATAATGAAACATATTTAGAGCCTTAAAACTCCCTACTTCTGTTGAGATCTGATTACTTCTGCCTCTTTGTTTTGTCTTTGTTGACTGGGGCCATGATCATTTTACAGCAGTGTATCCCCCACAGCATGTGACAACAACCATGTGAAAAACGAGAAATTTAATCTTCAGCCAAGGAAACCTGGCAGTCAATGAGAATTAGTTTTTATTTTTATTTTTTTTGCATCTGTGTTCCTTATGTGGTAGAGAATTAGTTTTTGGAATTCCTTTTAGAAAAATATTCTAGGCACATAAATAGCATCTCATTATATCCCCGTATTGAAGTTGCTATAGGGAAATAGCTAATTGTAGGGGTGCTGTTTTGAGAGTTTTATTCACTTTTATATTTATGTCTCACATCTAGGGAACTAGCTCTTCAGAAAAATCCAAGTCTTCAGGATCGTCACGATCAAAGAGGTTGGTTGATGTTGAAGGGACAAAAAGTTATTTTCTTTTTCAGGTTATTTTCTGTTTCTAGAACCAAATTTTTTCTGAACTCATGTCAAGCACTATTCTGAGTTAACTGTTCTATACAAATATACATATTTAAAAATGATAAGTATAATATAATGAATCCCTTTGTATCTGTCACCTGATTTTAACAATTATTTTTCATTCCAACTTTGAATTTTAAAGGGTTTTTAAAGGATTTATTATGTATTAGTGGCCCTTGCAATATGTAGTTTATTTCATTCGACAATATATGTCTTTGAAAAAGGAGAAAATAATTTTTGAATGCCTTATGAGGCAATGGGTTTTTTGAAATTGTCTAGGATGGGGAGTTAGTCATCATAGTTGTAAGTTACAAGGAGAAAAAAGAGTGGTAAAAAACACTTTTTTCTGCTAAATTGTGAAGCCATACATAAAAACTGAAACTATTTTCTAACATAATATAATTCCCAATATACTGTGCAGTATAATTCTTATTAGAAGTTTGCCGCTTAGTCTATTGGACTTTCATTGTTTCTAAGCAGTGGGAATGTCTCTTAAAAACCAAGCTTGCTTGATATTAATTTATTCTCTAAAGTAGTGATTCTTAAAGAAGAGTGTCCTCCAAGGTCTCCCTGGTAGCTTTTTCAGAATGCGTATGCCTTGGTCTTACTCCAGACCTACTGAATCATAATCTTCAGTGATATAGTGTAGGCACACATGCTTCCCTAGGTGATTCTGATGTGCTTCCTGGTTGAGACCCACTGCTCAATCTCAACATGTTATTTATGTTCTTTGGGTATTGTTCCAGTTGTCAGAAATGTTCATAATTCTTTGAACTTAATTCTTTCATAGGAAACCTTCAATTGTAACAAAGTATGTAGAATCAGATGATGAAAAACCTTTGGATGACGAAACTGTAAATGAAGATGCATCTAATGAAAATTCAGAAAATGATATTACTATGCAAAGCTTGCCAAAAGGTAATGTGTGTTAATTTTTCATGAAGTTAAAGTTGAAATGAATTTTTAAACATCATTTTTATAAAATTGGAACTTGATTACTGTTAGCTATGTACAAAAGACCAAACATGGCATTTTCCTAGTGGTTGTCTAGAAATATATTTGTATGCCAATGATAATGTGTGTTATCGAAGTTAAAAATTTGGAATATTCAGTTAGTTTTGTAAAGAATGAAATCTATTTTTTTCTTTCCATCGAGTTTTAGACAAGAGGCTTTAGTTTCCAAATTATACTTCAATGTGTAAGCAGGTTTAAAACTTTATTATATTAGGTTTTGGTTCAGTCAATGTTAATGTGCCTGCTTTATACAAAAATGTAATGACCGTTCCTGAAAACTTAAAAATCATTTACAGTCTAATTTAGTCTTATTGCATTCTTAAATTCTCTAAGGCTAGAAGCTGAAGTTAACTACCATAGATAGATTTAGTTGTATTTCTTGCTGTTATCTTTTTAAAAAAACTTTGTCACATACCTCTTAACTGTGGAAGTTCTAACCATAAAACCTTGTTAATAATGGGGGAAAAAGCCAGATGAGTATCTTGGACTCTTCATAGCTCAAATCTGAGAGCAATATAATTGGATGATGAGAATGACAGGGCACTTGGTTCAAAGAGTCAAATTTTATATTTTTTTCTTTGTTAAATAATATGTTGTAGTCTCTTGGCAGAGTTTTCAAATTCATTCTCATAGATCTTTTACAGCAGTGCTTATTAAACCTTGTTCCCTGTCTATGTTTTTATGACACATTTTCAAATTATGGAAATTTAAAATATACGGTAGGTAGGAGGGATGGGACTTTCCTTGACTAGGATAAATTAGAAGTTACAAAAGGTGATAAATGAAATGAGGAAAGGAAATTAATGAAAGAAGAGAGATAGGGGCCTACCACTTACTTAGCTTTGCAAATCATTTATGACAATTTTACATAATGGTTTTGGTGGCCAAGGGCAGAAACAACTAACATGGGAGTCTAAGTCCCGTAGGTGGTGACTTACTTTGGATTTTTACATTCTCAGTGGTTGTCACTGGGAGTGTTTATGATATAAGAAATAGGAATTCAAACTTTTGTTTTAATGGTACTGTGGAAGAAAGTCAGCATATGATGTTACTAACCTGAACTATGCCTAATTCTGTCAGAACAAAACAAAAACAAACCCATTTCATAAGGTTAAATTTGGGTGTTTATATTATTGTTGTAATATTTATTGAGTATATATAAGTACCAGGCTCTTACAGAATTAACTCCTTTAATCCTCAAAACAACACTGTAAGGTAGTTATTATTTTGCTTGTAGAGATAAAGGAACAAATTCAGAACCCAAGGAACTTTTTCAGCTTTAAATTGAGAAGCTAAGATTTCAACCCAGGTCTGCTTGAATCCAAAGCCTAGTGAGTGCTCTTTTCACTCTGCTGCTTTGCTTCCAATTCTCCCTAGAAGAATCTCTAGGGAGAATTCAGGTTTTTTTTTTTTTGTTGTTGTTGTTGTTGTTAATTTAAAATCTTTAGTTCTTTTCAAATGCTGGGGCTTCTCTGAGAGTATATACATGCAATGATTGCTGTGAATAACTTTTTTTTGGTGGGGATTATTTAATTTTACTACAGTCTGTAAAATCTCAATCATCTGTGTCCTCTCCCCACACCCTTTCAGAGACTCAGAAACTCATTTACCAACTAGATGTTATAACTTGTCAAAATTTGCTTGTTGAGTAACATAGAGCCATGTTTCAGAGAAAGCCCCTGGCAACTACCTGCTTTTTCTTCCTTGATTGTTGCCGATGATAGCCAGTTACTAAGCCAAGCAATGTAGGTAAACATTGAGACCTAAACCCTTTTTACTATGCCTGTCTTATTTGCTCTTGAGAAAACTAATGAAAACTTAAATCGACAGCCTCTCTCCTCAATTCACATGTTTTATAGTTAAGGAAGGACATTCTTTCTAAAATATTAACATAGGGATCAACAAATGATGTCATTCTACAATTTATTGTTAGGGTACTTTAGCTAAAGTATCTTAATCTCTAAAAACTCTTTAAGGACTTTACAGAATACTGAAGCTTTGACATACCGGTTGGGAAATGCTGCAGAATAGATACAGGAGTAATAGAATGAACTTCATTTCCCCCACCAATACCCCTCCCTTGCAGTATAAAACTACCCTTAAAAATCTTTCTGAGTTTATGATTTGGATTATGAAAATAGGATGTCTTTAAAAATTTTTTCCCTCTGAACCACATATTTTATGAATTCTTTATGGAACTTAGCATAGATGTTCATATTCATAACAGCTTTTGTGATAGGCACTATAAAAATTCAGAACTGGGTTGAGGCTTTCTATTTGATTCACACATTTCTTTTTTAATCACGCCATAATACCTCCCTTTCCTGTTTTTATGAACTATATTTCAACAAATAAACTGATTGTTGACACCTGGCCCTTATACTATTTCCCTGTTTTATTTACTTTTGTGAGGTCCTTATACCAATATCTAAAGCTTGAAAGAAACAAACTATGTACCAGCAATGTTGGCTTTATCTGAACTGAAGTCTTGTACTTCACTTGCACATTTAATATGTGTAATGGTTTTTTAAATGAAATCATTCTAGGTACAGTGATTGTACAGCCAGAGCCAGTGCTGAATGAAGACAAAGATGATTTTAAAGGGCCTGAATTTAGAAGCAGAAGTAAAATGAAAACTGAAAATCTCAAAAAACGCGGAGGTAAATACAAGTGAAAATGAAACATGAATTTAAATTGCTGTTTATGACCATATTGGAAAATCTGATGTGCTTACTAAAAATACCTCCACTTTTCTGCCTTTTGTTTATTAAAAGCACTACTTAAATATAACTTCTGTTTCTCTCTGAGCTCTGAAGCAGAAAAGGTTAAACACTATTTATCAAAACACCTTTGCCTTCAGTGGCTATTAAGTTATCTCAAGAAGCTTAGCATTTCCTTCTTCCACATGTTCTGTAATACATATATGCCATAATACTATGTTTCCCCCCCAACCCTAAAAGAATTTTAGATTTATGCAAAATCTTGTCTGTGGCCTCCAGGTAACTTTATATATAGTTAGAGTTGCATAGAGTGACATACATCTGCATTAGTATTAGTTTGGGGTATTATAAATGCAAGTCCCTTGACTCCACTCCTCACAAATTAGAATTTCTGTTGATGAGGTCAAGAATGTACCCCAGTTTGTTCTTGTGTACACTGAAGTTTCAGATCCATTAATCTAAGAACAGCAACATGGACATAAGTAGGAAGGAGTAGGGAGCTAGAGCTGATAACCCTCCCTCTGTCTGCCGGAGGCGCCTCTCCCTTTGTCTGTCTATCCTCCCTTAAACACACAAACGGTGGGGAGTGGTGGCTCACACCTGTAATACCAGCACTTTAGGAAGCCAAGGCAGGAGGATTACTTGAGTCCTGGAGTTCGAGACCTGCTTGGTCTATATGGTGAGACCCCATATCTACAAAAAATAAAAATATCTGCTGGACATAGTGGCGCATGCCTGTAGTCCTAGCAACTCTGGGGGCTGAGGTGGGAGGCTCACTTGAGCCCCGGTGATCAAGGCTGCAGTGAGCCGTGATTGTACCACTGCACTGCAGCCTGGATGACAGAGTCAGACCCTGTCTCAAAAAAATTAACGCACATGCATACACACACACGTACACACACTCTCTCAGTATTGGCTAACCATCTATAAAAAGTTTATTTAGAAATGTATGATAGTGGACTATGTGTCCCACTTGTTTGTGTGTGATTCTTAGATAGTGTGTATATATATTTTGGGGCAGCTTAACAGAGCCAGAATTCATAACTGTAAAAGGAATGAATCTCCAAATGATAGAACATGACACTAAATTTCTAAGTAGAAGTGTAGTGAAAGCATATCCATTTAATATTGATCAGATTATATAATTGTGAAATTATAGTGAAGCTCTTATATTGGTGAAATTTTTGTGTGGATTTTTATTTTAATGCTATGATTATCTTGATGGAACCAGTAAAATATATCTATACTTATAAAATGTTATATATATTCATTGTCAGATTAAATAATTTGTAAGGTTGTTGGCAAAAATAAAGGAAATAGTGTTTAGTCTTTTGTCCACAAAGGGGTAGTCAACTCCTTTTGAGCATAAGGAATCTTTCTGAGACTCTGGTTCATAGTAGGGAAACTGCCATTGCAGCAACAGAGCTCATTAAAGCTAAGGTAGTAGTCTTAAAATTTAAGAGAATCCTCAATTAGAAAGTGATGGTAAAGATCAGTAGTAAGAGTTTCTTTCCTCTGATCATAGGTTCTCTGGAGAAGACAAATAACTAAGTGTTCTGCATTGTGTACACTTGGTGTACAGAGTGCCTAAGTGGTGTTTTTTTGGGAAGGGACCCTGGAGCAGTCAATGTCTGAAATGTGGATAAGGGCTGAAAGAATAAAAGAACCACTGTTGTTGATGAGGGTATTCCTAGTGCTACTTTGGTATGCTGCTGGCATTTGGTCTCAGCTGATAAGTTTCAGGAACATTTTATTGACTGTTCTGTGTAGGAATGTTTTGGTATCACGCTTAAGGGAATACATAACATTTATAGCTATCAGTAGCACTTAAATCTTTCACGTCTGTTTTCATCTTAATGATTTGTTACATTTTTAAGCTGTCAGAAATCACACAGGAAATTTAACACTAGGTTTACTTTATATACACATATATAGATAAATTGGTGATCTGAAATGCTGAATTGGTGTAGATAATATTTAAACTTTTTAAGAAAGCTAGTTCCAAAATTGAAGCCTAACATAGGAAACTGTCAAGAATGTAAACTTTATATACAAAGTCTTATATTGATTTGGAATAATATTATAACACAAAGATATGGCTAAAGTTAACATTTCAGGAGCGGATGTTTTTTTTTTCTTTAAATTTCAGTATCATACCCTGTTTTGACATTCTTTTCCCAGTTTTAATTGTTAGAAAGTATATTTTACACCTAACTTTTTTACATGACACAATAATTTTGTTCTCTCTTTAAAACCATTAAAATGTATTGAGCTCAGAAGTGAAAATGCCTCTTTTTCATTTATACCCTGTGTTACAATTTTAAATATATTTCATAACTAAAAATAAAAAATTTAAACATGTGTACAGCAACAAGTACATAAAGTAACATTTCAACATTTTACCATATTTGCTTCAGATCTCACTTAAGTAAAATATTGGTTCAGTCCTACTCTCATCCATTTCCCCTTCTTCCCACCCCACAGGTAATGATTATCTTGAAGTTTTATGCATGTGCATGTGTGTGCATGTTTTTCTATGTTTTTTATATATGTATTCATAAAACATTTTTCATTTAAAAATATAACAAAATAATATGCTGTATATATCATTTGGGAACGTTTTTCATTTAACATTGTTTTTGAATTGTATTCATGTCAGTAAATGTACATCTAGTTTGCTTATTTTTCACTGCTCTATAGAATTATGTGGTATCAATAAGTCACTATTCATTTCCCGCATAGGAAGCTATTCCCAATTTTTCCTTTTCTAATTTTCTAATTAGTGCTGTGGTGAATATCCTTATATTTGATTCCTTGTGCACATGTGGGAGAAAATCTCCAAAGAATTACCTAGTTTTGTTTAATTCTTGAGTGATATATGCACCAAAGCACACAGAAGATGCTTAGTAAGCATTACTTAACATTGGATGAACATTCAGATTCTACATTTTATTTATGTTGTTAGTTTATCTGAATGGAATAATTATTTGAAATGAAGAAGTATGCTGTGGTGTATTTGTTTCTGTTAAAACGAATACAGAATATATGAATACCCAAGATCAAACTGGAGTTTGTAAATAATGTGATTATAATAAATTAGGCTTGTAATACCTGCCATTAGGTAGGATGAGGTGGGAGGATTGCTTGAGCTCAGGCGTTTGAGGCTACAGTGACTTGTGATTGTGCCATTGTACTCCAGTCTGGGTGATGCACTGAGACCACATCTTTAAAATTAAATAAATAAATAAATAAAAAATTTAGTAACATAAATAGTAAACCTTTAAGTTTACTTTTATCTTCTAAAACAGTATGATGGTGTTCTTAAACTCTAAAACTTTTAGCTTCTGGCTAGGTGTAGTGACTCACACCTGTAATCCCAGCACTTTGGGAGGCTGAGGCCAGAAGATTGCTTGAGCCCAGGAGTTGGAGACCAGCCTGGGCAACACAGTGAGACCCAATCTCTACAAAAAATTAGCCAGGTGTGGTGGTGTGTGCCTGTAGTCCCAGCTACTCAGGAGGCTGAGGTGGGAGGATTGCTTGAGCCTGGGAGGTAGAGGCTGCAGTGAGCTGAATTTGCACCATTGCATTCCAGCCTAGGTGACAGAGTGAGCTCTAGCTCTTAAATTTTTAAAGAAGTTTTTACAAATAAAAATATTCATGATAATATTTGGGTCCATAGTGCTTTGGACCTTAAACCTAATAGAAACCCAAAAGAGAAAATTAAAAGGGTGAGAAATACATGTGATGTTTTGTTTTTTATTTAAGTATGGTGCCAATTTGTTTTTTAGTTGTCTCCTTTTTATTTGTGAATGTAAGCATTTTGAGTGGCTTCTTCTGAATTATAATCTACCATCTTATTTTGATCAAGGTCTTGGTTGCACATCAGGATCATCTTTGAAACTTTAAGAAAATGTCTGAGAGGTTTTAATTCAGTGGTTTAGGGTTGGGAATGGCTGTTTTTAAAAAGGTTCTTCAGATGACTCTAATGTTTAGCTCAGGGTGTGAAACACTGCCTTAGCAGAACTAGGGACAAGTAGAAGGCTGGAGAGGTTTCTGTAGGTTTTCTTCAGTCTGTTTTTCAGGGGACAGTACAGAATGGAACTCTGCCTTTTACCCCTAGTCGTTCTGATGTTTTGCTGCCAAAATAGATATACTTGCAATATCTTGTTTATCTTTATTTGAAAATAGTTGACAGTGTTGGTATGGAGTAGATAGTGGAGTACACATAGAGAAAAGGCAGGTTAATGACAATTTTGGATAGTGTTGAAGTAAATATTGGGAAGGAAATTGGTAATATCTTAAAATTACCAAGTTTTTACGTACCATATTGATAGGATCTGTGCAGACAATTCCACTTTTAGAATAAAATCCTTTATGGCATACTTAAGTATAGGATTGCAAAAGAATCTGTTCCATATATGTTACTTCCCCATTCTGTAAGGACTGATACTGAATTTATTTGCAAAGCAATAATAAAATATAAAAGAGCTCTTGGCCCCTAGTTTTAGAAATTTTTGTGGGTTCTCTTAATGTTATTTCGAGTTGTAAAAAATGGCATTTGCATCTGTAAAAGGAAATAATTAGGATTTGTAACTTGGAATTTGCCAAGGTTGTCATGTGCTTAGTAAGTCGATAAAATATTAACCTTTTTTTACTTGTATCCAAGATGCCATTTTTTCTAAGGATTATGAGGTATTTCATTTCTAATACAAAAGTTACAAAATGCTGACTAAAGTAAATATCTTTTTCTTTGTGTAAATGTGTGAATAATAGTCACTCCTTTCTCCTAGAAGATGGGCTTCATGGAATTGTGAGCTGCACTGCTTGTGGACAACAGGTCAATCATTTTCAAAAAGATTCCATTTATAGACACCCTTCATTGCAAGTTCTTATTTGTAAGGTACGTAATGATCTGTTGATATTTCATGCCATAAATATTTGAATGCTTACCATATACCAGGCCTTTGAGGGCACAGTCTTGAAGAAAGATGGAAATGGTATCTGCCCTTGGAAGACTTCTATTGTAGTGAGGAAGATAGACATACAAAGCCTAAGTGTCATGATAGGGGAGATACTGTGATTATGGGAGCACACAGGAAGCCTGTGTAAATATGATTTGGGTCGGATGGCTTTCTAGCGGAAAGGTGATATGTGAAATATGAATAAGAATTAGCCTGGTAAGTGAGATTGGTTCATCATGTTCTGGGAAGAGGCAACATGGTATTTAGATACTGGTAGTTGAGGGAGACGTTGGTGTGTTTGAAAATCTCAAGAGTGGATGTGTGTAAATGTTTGTGTTTTATAATCTTTCCCCTTATATATCCTACTTCCCCAAATGTAAACTATCTATGTGGAGCAGGGTTTTGACGTAACTTGGAGATAATAGAATTAAAAATGTTTTTTATGTGTTGATTATAGTTTTAACGGTCTGTGCCACATTTTTGTTAGTAATACCTTGGAGTTAATTTTAAGTATCTATCAATGTGGGCCTGGCACGGTGGCTCATGGTTGTAATCCTAGCACTTTGAGAGGCCAAGGCTGGTGAATCACCTGAGCTTAGGAGTTCGAGACCAGCCTGGCTAACGTGGTGAAACCCCATCTCTACTAAAAATACAAAAAATTAGCCGGGCATGGCGGGTCCCTGTAATCCCAGCTACTTGGGAGGCTGAGGCAGGATAATCGCTTGAACCTGGGAGGTGGAGGTTGCTGTGAGTCAAGATTGCACTATTGCATTCCAGCCTGGGCAACAAGAGCAAAACTTCCTCTCGGTAACTTCCTATAAATGTCATGGTTATGGTTTTCTTAACTCATATTCCTGCTAAGATTAATCCTATGTTAGTTTGTTTCCCAATAAAAAGCTGCCTTTGAAATGCAGTGGCAGGCCATGTTTTCCTTGGAATTCTAGCTCTAGATCTTTTCTTGAATGAATTTTTGATAGATTCAGACATGCTTAAATGAACTGTACTTTGTTCTTTAGCAATTTGTATCCCTCCTTTCCTTGAATTCAGTTCAGCAGGGGCCTATCTAGGGTATGTATTAGAGAGTTTCATTTTAAATTTTGACAGTAGAATCTAATATTGCTGAATTTGTGACATGTATTTGCCTTTCTGTTTTCTTATCTATATGATTGTCTTTTTTCAAGAACCAGTCTGTTGAGCCTAGGCCATTTCACTCATCTGTAGTTTGTATCAGTGAGCACCTTTACCCTTTCTGCAGTCCCACTGAAAAGACTTTGAAGTCAGTCAAACTTGGATTTGAATAACAGCTTTGCCTCTTACTAGTTGTATGACTTTAGATTTATTTACATATTAATGAAAGTTAGCCTTTTCTCTCATAATACGTCCTACCTTGCATGGTAGGTATTTCGATATTTAGAGATAATATAGATTAATTCTTTTGCTGTATGTATAGTAGCTGTTTGTATATGGTGGCTATTAAAATTGCTAAGTACCCACATCTAATACATTTTTATGTAGAGCTTTAGTAGCTAGTTGTATGAGACCAGAAATTAGCTTTACTAAAATCTTTTATAAACTTTGTTTTTTTGGTTTGTTTTTGAGATGGAGTCTTGCCCTGTTACCCAGGCTGGAGTGCGGTGGCACAATCTTGTCTCACGGCAGCATCCACCTTCTGGGTCAAGCGATTCTCCTGCCTCAGCCTCCCGAGTAGCTGGGATTACAGGTGCCCGCTACCACACCTGGCTAAGTTTTGTGTTTTTAGTAGAGACGGGGTTTTACCCTGTTGGCCTGGCTGGTCTTGAACTCCTGACCTCAAGTGATCCACCCACCTCAGCCTCCCAAAGTGCTGGGATTACAGGCATGAGCCACCGCACCCAGCCAAAAATCTTTTATAAACTTTTAAATAAGGAATAGTGGCATTTGAGTGTATGGAAATCTATTTCAAGGCATTAATTCTTGAGACTTGAAATAGTTAGATGTCTGCACAATACAGATATTGGGTAGCAGTGTTTTGTTTTTTTTTTTTTTTTTTTTTTGAGTTTTATTCTGTTGCCCAGGCTGGAGTGCAATGACGTGATCTTGGCTCACTGCAACCTCCACCTCCAGGGTTCAAGTGAGTCTCCTGCCCCAACCTTTAGAATAGCTGGGATTGCAGGCGTTTGCCACCATGCCTGGCTAATTTTTGTATTTTTAGTAGAGACTGGGTTTCGCCATGTTGGCCAGACTGGTCTTGAACTCCTGACCTCAGGTGATCCACCCTCCTCGTCCTCTCAAAGTGCTGGGATTATAGGCATGGGCTACTGCGCCCAGCTGGGGTAGTACAGTGTTTTTGCTTTGAGTCTCTGAAACATGCACACATACTCCTTTTTTTTTTTATTTTTTTTTTTATTTTTTTTTTTTATTTTTAAAATTTTTGTGGGTTCTTGGTAGGTGTATATATTTATGGCGTACATGAGATGTTTTAATACAGGCATGCGATGTAAAATAAGTACATCGTGGAAAATAGGGTATCTGTCCCCTCAAGCATTTATTCTTTGAGTTACAAGCAATCTAATTATATTCGTTAAGTTATTTAAAAATGTACAATTAAGTTGCTATTGACTGTAGTCACCCTATTGTGCTATTAAATAGTAGGTCTTATTCTTTGTATTTTTTTGTACCCGTTGACCATCCCCACCTCCTCCCCATCCCCTCACTACCTTTCCCAGCTTCTTGTAACCATCCTTCGTGACATCCTTCATTAGTTCATCCATGAGTTCAATTGTTTTGAGTTTTAGATCCCATTTATAAGTGACAACATGCAATGTTTGTCTTTCTGTGCCTGGCTTATTTCACTTAATATAATGATCTCCAGTTCCATCCATGTTGTTGCAAATGACGGGATCTCATTCTTTCTTATGACTGAGTAGTACTCCATTGTGTATATGTATCACATTTTATTTATTTATTTATTTATTTATTTATTTATTTATTTATCTGTTGATGGGCACTTAGGTTGCTTCCAGATCTTTGCTATTGTAAACAGTGGCCCAACAATCATAGGAGTGCCAGTATCTCTTTGATAAACTCATTTCTTTTCTTTTGTGTATATACCCAGCAGGTGGATTGCTGGGTATCTCAATTTTTAGTTTTTTTGAGGAAACTCCAAACTGTTTTCTATAGTGATTGTATTCATTTACATTCCTACCAACAGTACTCAAGGGTTCCTTTTTCTCCACATCCTTGCCAGCATTTGTTATTGCCTGTCTTTTGTATATAAGCCATTTAAACTGGGGTGAGATGATATCTTACTATAGTTTTGATTAACATTTCTCTGATAATCAGTGATGGTGAGCAGCTTTTCATATGTCTATTTGTCATTTGTATGTCTTCTTTGGAGAAATGTCCAGTCTAATCTTTTGCCCATTTTTTGATTGGATTATTTGATTTTTTTCCTATAGAATTGTTGGAGCTCTTTATATATTGTGGTTATTAATCCATTGTCAGATGGGCACTTTGCAAAATGTTCTCCCATTCTGTGGGTTGTCTTTTCATTTTGTTGATTGTATCCTTGCTGTGCAGAAGCGTTTTAACTTGATGTGATCTCATTTGCCAATTTTCGCTTTGGTTGCCTGAACTTGTGTGATATTGCTCAATAAATCTTTGCCCATACCAGTGTTCTGGAGATTTTCCCCAGTGTTTTTAATTACTTAAAAAAGTAAAGTTTTTGTCCTTTATGAATGCTATCAATTTTGAATTAAATTTCCCCTTCCTCTTTTCTTTTAATAGAATTGCTTTAAGTATTACATGAGTGATGATATTAGCCGTGACTCAGATGGAATGGATGAACAATGTAGGTAGGTAATATAGATGAGCTAACATTCAGTGTTTCCTACTTTTGGGAGGAATTGTTACATAATCTTTTATGAGGTTTGTCTTTCATAGTATCATCATTGATGTCTTTAATGAAAGGTTGTTATTTTCTATCAAACCCTAGGTTTATGTCTAGTTTAAGTTTCTAGTAAAGAATAAGCAGATGACATAAATTACTACTAAAATTACTGGCAGTAAAATTTAAATTGCATTATAACAAAGAGATTAAAATGAGTTTTGTTGGGAATAGTGTTTATTTTTATTTTTTTACCTATCTTTTCAGTTTCCTGAAAGAAGGGAATAATGTTTTAATCTTTAAAACATTTCAGATGGTGTGCAGAAGGTGGAAACTTGATTTGTTGTGACTTTTGCCATAATGCTTTCTGCAAGAAATGCATTCTGCGCAACCTTGGTCGAAAGGAGTTGTCCACAATAATGGATGAAAACAACCAATGGTATTGCTACATTTGTCACCCAGAGCCTTTGTTGGACTTGGTCACTGCATGTAACAGCGTATTTGAGAATTTGGAACAGTTGTTGCAGCAAAATAAGAAGAAGATAAAAGTTGACAGTGAAAAGAGTAATAAAGTATATGAACATACATCCAGATTTTCTCCAAAGAAGACTAGTTCAAATTGTAATGGAGAAGAAAAGAAATTAGATGATTCCTGTTCTGGCTCTGTAACCTACTCTTATTCCGCACTAATTGTGCCCAAAGAAATGATTAAGAAGGCAAAAAAACTGATCGAGACCACAGCCAACATGAACTCCAGTTATGTTAAATTTTTAAAGCAGGCAACAGATAATTCAGAAATCAGTTCTGCTACAAAATTACGTCAGCTTAAAGCTTTTAAGTCTGTGTTGGCTGATATTAAGAAGGCTCATCTTGCATTGGAAGAAGACTTAAATTCAGAGTTTCGAGCATTGGATGCTGTAAATAAAGAGAAAAATACCAAAGAGCATAAAGTCATAGATGCTAAGTTTGAAACAAAAGCACGAAAAGGAGAAAAACCTTGTGCTTTGGAAAGGAAGGATATTTCAAAGTCAGAAGCTAAACTTTCAAGAAAACAGGTAGATAGTGAGCACATGGATCAGAATGTTCCAACAGAGGAACAAAGAGCAAATAAAAGTACCGGTGGTGAACATAAGAAATCTGATAGAAAAGAAGAACCTCAGTATGAACCTGCCAACACTTCGGAAGACTTAGACATGGATATTGTGTCTGTTCCTTCCTCAGTTCCAGAAGACATTTTTGAGAATCTTGAGACTGCTATGGAAGTTCAGAGTTCAGTTGATCATCAAGGGGATGGCAGCAGTGGAACTGAACAAGAACTGGAGAGTGCATCTGTAAAATTAAATATTTCTTCAAAAGACAACAGAGGAGGTATTAAATCAAAAACTACAGCTAAAGTAACAAAAGAATTATATGTTAAACTCACCCCTGTTTCCCTTTCTAATTCCCCAATTAAAGGTGCTGATTGTCAGGAAGTTCCACAAGATAAAGATGGCTATAAAAGTTGTGGTCTGAACCCCAAGTTAGAGAAATGTGGACTTGGACAGGAAAACAGTGATAATGAGCATTTGGTTGAAAATGAAGTTTCATTACTTTTAGAGGAATCTGATCTTCGAAGATCCCCACGTGTAAAGACTACACCCTTGAGGCGACAGACAGAAACCAACCCTGTAACATCTAATTCAGATGAAGAATGTAATGAAACAGTTAAGGAGAAACAAAAACTACCCGTTCCAGTGAGAAAAAAGGATAAGCGGAATTCTTCTGACAGTGCTATAGATAATCCTAAACCTAATAAATTGCCAAAATCTAAGCAATCAGAGACTGTGGATCAAAATTCAGATTCTGATGAAATGCTAGCAATCCTGAAAGAGGTAAGCAGGATGAGTCACAGTTCTTCTTCAGATACTGATGTTAATGAAATCCATACAAACCATAAGACTTTGTATGATTTAAAGACTCAGGCGGGGAAAGATGATAAAGGAAAAAGGAAACGAAAAAGTTCTACATCTGGCTCAGATTTTGATACTAAAAAAGGCAAATCAGCTAAGAGCGCTATAATTTCTAAAAAGAAACGACAAACCCAGTCTGAGTCTTCTAATTATGACTCAGAATTAGAAAAAGAGATAAAGAGCATGAGTAAAATTGGTGCTGCCAGAACCACCAAAAAAAGAATTCCAAATACAAAGGATTTTGACTCTTCCGAAGATGAAAAACACAGCAAAAAAGGAATGGATAATCAAGGGCACAAAGGTTTGAAGACCTCGCAAGAAGGATCATCTGATGATGCTGAAAGGAAACAAGACAGAGAGAATTTCTCTTCAGCAGAAGGCACAGTTGATAAAGACACAACCATCATGGAATTAAGAGATCGACTTCCTAAGAAGCAGCAAGCAAGTGCTTCCTCTGATGGTGTCAATAAGCTTTCTGGGAAAGAGGAGAGTTTTACTTCTTTGGAAGTCAGAAAAGTTGCTGAAACTAAAGAAAAGAGCAAGCATCTCAAAACCAAAACATGTAAAAAAGTACAGGATGGCTTATCTGATATTGCTGAGAAATTCCTAAAGAAAGACCAGAGTGATGAAACTTCTGAAGATGATAAAAAGCAGAGCAAAAAGGGAGCTGAAGAAAAAAAGGAAACTTCAGACTTTAAGAAAAAAGTAATTAAAATGGAACAACAGTATGAATCTTCATCTGATGGCACTGAGAAGTTACCTGAGCAAGAAGAAATTTGTCATTTTCCTAAGGGCATAAAACAAAATAAGAATGAAACAACTGATGGAGAAAAGAAAAGTAAAAAAATAAGAGAGAAAACTTCTAAAAAGAAGGATGAATTATCTGATTATGCTGAGAAATCAACAGGGAAAGGAGATAGTTGTGACTCTTCAGAGGATAAAAAGAGTAAGAATGGAGCATATGGTAGAGAGAAGAAAAGGTGCAAGTTGCTTGGAAAGAGTTCAAGGAAGAGACAAGATTGTTCATCATCTGATACTGAGAAATATTCCATGAAAGAAGATGGTTGTAACTCTTCTGATAAGAGATTGAAAAGAATAGAATTGAGGGAAAGAAGAAATTTAAGTTCAAAGAGAAATACTAAGGAAATACAAAGTGGCTCATCATCATCTGATGCTGAGGAAAGTTCTGAAGATAATAAAAAGAAGAAGCAAAGAACATCATCTAAAAAGAAGGCAGTCATTGTCAAGGAGAAAAAGAGAAACTCCCTGAGAACAAGCAATAAAAGGAAGCAAGCCGACATTACATCCTCATCTTCTGATATAGAAGATGATGATCAGAATTCTATAGGCGAGGGAAGCAGTGATGAACAGAAAATTAAGCCCGTGACTGAAAATTTAGTGCTGTCTTCACATACTGGATTTTGCCAATCTTCAGGTATGCAAAAATAAATAAAAAATTCATAATTTGTACTTTCCCCCTCTTGAATTACTACATTGTTTAATTTTCCCTGAAGCTAATCAAATTTAGGGTTACTAAGGAGAATACCACTTAAAATTATTTAGGAGTTTATTAAAAAAAACATTTCCCCATTTATTTTTCTACTGCCATTGGAAGATATTTTGAACATCGCTAGTATTCAGTATCAGGGATCCCAAATTTGTTGAGTAAATGACAAAATTTCTTTATCAATATTTAGTGCTTTTCTCTAGAGTAATGAGCAGTAGTTTATGAAGGAAAAGCGATTGGTACCAGTGGTTCAGTAGCTATTTATTTATATAATGGAAGTGAATCCTTGGTACTGGTATGACATGGTGTGTCAAAATTTTAACTGCCATGCATATGGCTTTTTAAGTTTGAACAGATAACTTTGTGTCTTATGAAATTCCCTTTAATTATTTTTAATTTACCTAAGTAAAACCCTTTGTTGGTGCTTATTAACTAGTTTCTAATGACATGAACAGACGTTTTTCTTTTAAAAACACTGTCAAAATAAAGAAAGGAAGAAAATCCAAACACTAGCTGGATTAGCCTACCCTGATGAGGTAGAGTACTAGGAACATTAAAGTTTGGGTCAGCTGGTGAATAAAAATATTCTTAGGAATTAATTAAAATTAATCTTATAAAAATTTATGAAAAATAATTTTAAAAAGAGGTTTTTATTATTAAAGTTACTTTAAAAATCATTTGTATAATAAATGTGTATTGGTCATTTGTCTTTTTTTTTTAGTCAGTAAGACGTGTCAGTTAACTATGGATACTCAGAATTTATTTAAAAATTTTTATGAAGTGGGTTTTACATAAAATTGTATTTCCAACATAGGTAGAATTAAAAAATTTTTCCTTTCAGTTCTTATGTTACAGTTTTCAATTTATCCCAATTGGATTTTAATGGAATTAATTTGAATCTTGGCTATTTTTTAAATTAAAATTTTTAATTTTGTAGAGATGAAGTCTTGCTATGTTACCCAGGCTGGTCTTGAACTCCTGGCATCAAGCAATCCTTCCACCTTGGCCTTCCAAAGTGTTGGAATTACAGGCATGAGCTACTGTGCCCAGCAAAATCTTGTTTTTTTAAATAAAACTTTTCATTTCTTTTATGAAGTACTTATGACTTGACTTGAAAACCACATGTGATATGCATGGTGTGTGCTTCAGTTGAATGCTCTGCTATATCGGATGACTAGATGGAGCTCTGTTTGTGTGGCTATTGTAATTCAAGTTCACAGTTTCTTACCTGAAATTCTTGGGGTCTATTGTGTTTCAGAATTTACAACTTTTTGTCTTTTAGAAAAATAATAGAGAGCAGTTACTATATATTTTATAAAAGCCCCAGTATGCAACACCAGATAATCAAACACCGTATTTCTGCAGCAAAACATTTGAAGATTCACATTTAAAGGAATAAGCAGTTTAGAACAGGTTTTGCTGCCAGATTGTCTTTGGTACCCTCTTACAGAAACTTTCCGTTTTGAGAGTGTTTTAGATTTCAAAATTATGTATAAGGGATTATGGACTTATATTAAAAATACAGAATCTAATAGTTACTTTGATGTCAAATCAATGTTTTAGTTGTTAGGTTAGCTGTGAAAATCCTTATTAAGGATTAGAGTTTAAGAATAATAAATGGTGTTTAAAAATTTAGTTAAAAATCCATTAAAAATTATATGTCACAACTAATTTTATTTCTGGTTTTATTTATTTGGATCTTCTCTCTTTTTTTTTTAGTATGGCTAATTTTAAACTTTGGAAAATTGGTTTCTGTGATTAAACAGTTTCACTGGTGAAATCAATATGTTTGATTTCAAGTATTTTACTACTTTTCTTTCTCAAGATCTCACTTGATTTATTGATACCTATGAAAGTATTACACACCTCTCATGTTGAGAATTATAAATTTTTGGTGTAATAATTAATATGCATTCATTAGGCCTTAAGAAGGGATGGTGATATGTGGCAAATACTCAATTGATACATCTTCTGATAATTACTTATCTCAGCACTGATCTAGATCACTGTGTTCCATTTTGATTTATTTAACTTTGATCTGAAGGACAAATAGGCTGATGGGGAGGTAAACTTTTCCTGAGGTGTGTATCAAGAGAAACTTTGAGAATCTGTTACTTCAGCAAATGCCAATCCTTCAACTCCTTGGTGAAATATGCCTTATTGAGATTTTCTTTACCCTGGATATTTTTGGGAGCTAAGCTGATTATTTGGGATAAAATAAGAAAGAAGATAAATTTGTTAGGGAATTTAACCTGTCAAAAATGGGGCCTTGTCAATAGAAACAAGTAGAATAGAATATGAGTGCCTTGAAAATAAGCACTGTGTAAAAAGTTCTGTTTTTAAAGATAAGTTTGTGTGTGAGCCAATGTTACGATATTCCTTCAGAATTTACTTACATGCTTATATAAGCATGCTGAATTTATGTACTCCTCTGTCTAACTTAATTTTAGGTCACAGTTTTAGAAGGTTAAAACAAAAACCCTGCCCCCTATTGAGTTTAGAGGATTCCAGTTTATTTGCAGTATTTGGGTATCATATTACAGCTACAGTATTTTCCTAGAAATTGGGGCTTGGTAATGGCATGAATAACCAAGATGAAGAACATGGTCCTAGGAGATTGCAGTTTAATGCAAGACAGACATAGAGAAATCATTAAAAAAGGTAATAGAAGAAAGATATAAAACTAGATTGGGGCCTGTAATCCCAGCACTTTGGGAGGCCAAGGTGGGTGGATCATCTGAGGTCAGTAGTTCGAAACCAGTCTGGCCAACATGGTGAAACCCCATCTCTACTAAAAATACAAAAAAATTAGCCGCGTGTGGTGGCACACACCTGTAATCCCAGCTACTTGGGAGGCTGAAGCAGGAGAATCGCTTGAACCCAGGAGATGGAGATTGCAGTGAGCCGCAATCATGCCACTGCACTTCAGCCTGGGCAACAGAGCGAGACTCTGTCTCAAAACAAAAACAATGACAATCTATAATGGGGCTACACAATAAATAGCAAGTGAGATATTTAAATATTTGGGGAAATATGTAGAAGAATAGTTGGCATTTGAACCTCAAAGGATAGGTCAAATTTTGAAAGGTGTAGTAAAGAGGGAGTGACAGTGCTAATTATATTTCATTTGAAGATTGGTCTGTTTGGATGAGATATTTATTGTGAGTTTGCTGGGATATTATGAAATCTCTTCTCTCTCTCTCTCTTTTTTTTTTTTTTTTTTGAGTTGAAGTCTCACTCTGTCACCCAGGCTGGAGTTCAGTGGCACTATCTCGACTCACTACAACCCCTGCTCACTGCAACCTCCGCCTTCTGGGTTCAAGCAATTCTCGTGCCTCAGGCTCCCGAGTAGCTGAGATTACAGGCACATGCCACCACACCGGCTAAGTTTTGTATTTTTAGTAGAGATGAGGTTTCTCCATATTGGCCAGGCTGGCCTCAAACTCCTGACCTCAAGTGATCTGCTCGCCTCAGCCTCCCAAAGTGCTGGCATTACAGGCTTCAGCCACCATGCCTGGCCTTATTTAGTGTATTTCTATCCTGAGCCTGTAGGTGTCTGTTTTCTTTATAGATTTTTTTTCCTCCATTTCTCTTCAACATTTTATTGTGAAAAACATTGAAGTATACATCAAAGCATCTACCATTAATATTATACTGTATTTTCTTGATAACATATCTATATATCCTTCTGTCTATCCATCAGTGTATTTTTTTTTTTTTGCCTTTTTAGCTTTTCATTTTGCATAATTATAAATCCACAAGAATTTGTAAAAAAATAAGAAATACAGGGAGGTCTCAGATACACTTCACTTAGTTTCCCTCAAGGGTAACATCTTGTAACTATAGTACAGTGTCAAAACCAGAAAACTGAAGATTTATTCAGATTTCACCAGTTTCACATGCACTCATTTGTGTGTGTGTGCAAGTATAGTTCAATGCAGTTGTACCCCATGTGTATCTTTGCATAATCACCACCACAACTAAGATATCAAACCAGTTCCATTATCACAAGGCTCCCTAATGATACTGCTGTCCTTACCTCCATTCCTGACATCTGGCAACTAGTAATCTGTTCTTCATCACTGTAATTTTGCTATTTTGAAATGGAATCATGAAGTATATAACCTTTTGAGATTGGCTTTTTTCACTTAGTATAATACCCGTAAAATCTTTGATGCATTTCAAATTAAATGGTACACATCAGCATACTTCTCCTGAAATACTTAAGCATGCATAATATTAACCTACAGTTTGATATTTCAGTTTGTTTTTCTTTTTAAGTAAAAGTTATGTAGAATGAAATGCCCAAATCTTAACCTCTTTAGATTTTTTTTTTTTTTTTTTTGTGATAGAGTCTTACTTTGTTGCCTAGGCTGGAGTGCAGTGGTGCAATCTCGGCTCACTGCAATCTCCGCCTCCCGGGTTCAGGTGATTCTTCTCCCTCTTTCTCCCTGGTAGCTGGGATTACAGGTGTACACCACCATGCCTGGTTAATTTTTGTATTTTTAGTAGAGACGGGATTTCGCCATGTTGGCCAGGCTGGTCTGGAACTCCTGACCTCAGGTGATCCACCTGCCTCGGCTTCCCAAGGTTCTGGGAATACAGGCATGAGCCACCTCGCCTGGCCCTCTTTAGATTTTTAATCAGAAGATAGAAATGTAGCTTTTTATAAGAAAATAAGTTTTACTGTACTGAACTGTATCACTGGGTAACTCAGATCACGAATACCATACACATTCAACTGCATTTTAAAATTACTTGCTACTACCAAAACATTAATACCGGTTTTGCTATTCCTCGAAGTTACAGCACCTGTTAATGTCAAAATTAAAATGGATCAGTACAAAGGTTATTGCGGCAAGAAACTTGTGCTAATATGATGACTGTTGATATAGAATTGTTACAGAGAAGGGTGGACTTTAAAAGCATTGTGCCCTGGGAAGGAACTCTGAAATATATAAGGGCCAGCTATTTATCATTTTACTGCTGGCACTTCACAAATACTTGGTTATGTTTTCTATAAGAATGCTTTTTACTCATATTTTGGAGTCCAGAGTTTAGACCCCACTTAGTTTGCTTTAAAGTTTTTGGCTTTCAGTTTTATTTTACATGGTTTTAATTATATAGCTTATTTAAAGCTAATTTTAAGTACACTTTTTTCCCTCAAGGAGATGAAGCCTTATCTAAATCAGTGCCTGTCACAGTGGATGATGATGATGACGACAATGATCCTGAGAATAGGTATGATTCCATCTGTAAGGACTTTAAAAAGATTATAACACACCCTAGGCATGGGCACAAACAGCAGCAACGGAACAGCAAGCAGGTTGTAAAAACCAGGAGTGCCTGCCTTAGAAAGACTCGCTCACAGTCTTCCTGCAAGTTTGAAAGAAAGGCCAGAAAATGGGCTAAAACTCAGAAACCTTAAGAGAAAGTAATATTATTTACACACCTAGCATAGGGTGTGTTATAAATACAGAACTGTCAATTTTATGTTTCTGTGTAAACTGCGATAATTTTTTTGGAATAATTTATTTTGACAGATTATTGATGAAAGTAAATCATATCTCAATAAATTGGTAACAACAGACATCTCCTCTATATTTGACTATTGTTAATTGCCATCCAGTATGGTGGTCCTATTTATTAAGGCCTGTTGAGAGTAAACAAAAGGAGAGATTACTCAGATATTTAAGATTAAGAAATTGCTTTCAAAATAAGTGTAAATTTACAAGGTATCTAGACTGAGTTAAACCAGTTTTCAAATAAAATAGAAACACACGGTATGAGAGCATTTACTTTAGTAAGACTTAATAGGTTTAAATATCAACAGTGTAGCCTATACAGATATACTTAAGTAAGGAGTGGCTGGGTGAAGAAAAAAAAAGACACTATCAGTATAGAGAAGAATAAGGAAAACAACGGTGTTAAAGAATATAGCTATAAGGTTTCAACATAACTTTTAAACACTTCCTGGACAATAGCATACCCTATGCTCATAATCTTCAACAAGAAGATAGTGTGGTATAGTGCATGGAATTTTGGAATAATGGGCATAAGGGTATCTGATTTCTAACATTTTTAACAACTGTCTGTGTCATCATGGGCAAGTGACTTTACTTTTTGTCAAAAATTTACTATATTTAAGAAGAAAAAGTTGGGCGAAATTTTCTCTAATTCTTGTACCAAAAAATCCATGATAGATTTGAGATGATTTCATTAAAGAGCACTACATTAACCATTCATTTATTCCTAATAGTAAGTTCTAACATTAAGAAAACATAAAAATACACATGTAATTTTTTGTCATAATTTTGTAAGAAGTGAATTGAGTTAGTAAATGCCCTGGGTTCAGCTGTTAGTCTCACTCTTTTATATCTTGCTGATGCTGTTAGGTTTCTCTGTTGCAAAGGTCAGCATTCTGCTAATTAACAGAATAATGTTTTTATTAAGGTGAATGAACAGTTTTATTTTACACTTTTGAATAGAGCTTAATTGTGGACACAAAGATTCAGATTCTGCTTGCCTCCTTTTTTAAATTTAAAAATGTATATCCATTTATTTTGTGGGATAGGTGGTAGGTTCCAGAATGGAGTAATAAGGGCATACAATTTATTCATCAGGGGTTTTATATTACATCATCACAGCCAGATACTGAAAGCATTTAAAATTTTATTCTTTTTTAAGATACTTTACTTTTTCTTCATTTATATTTGCTACTATTTGATTTTCTATACATCATGAGGCCTCAGATGTTATTCAAAGGCTAATAATGTTTTAAACAGTCTGCATCTTAATTTAACTGTGAATGATTACTTTAATTTCATATTCAACCACCAAATAAGAGTGTTGTTAAGGTATAATTTTTTTGTGTGTGTGTTAGAGCTTGTCAAAATATAAATATCATTTTCAACTTTTAAGTTACCTGATCATATCTCTTTGTAACTGGCAAGTATTTTATTGGAAAGTATCTTTAATTCCATCTTGAATTTGTGATTAAAAAATACAACCCTGTTGAGTACTTTTGAGAAGAACTGAATTTTATCTTGAGCCTGTGTCTCTATATTCAGTTTAATGTGTTTTCATAAAATATACAATTCATTAACTTGTTTAATATTCACTATACCAAAGAGAGATCTAATACCCATGGGTTATGTAGTCATGATGGGGATACAAATACTTTCTTGCACTATTTTAGTATAGATTATATATTTGAGCATAGTTGAATATGCACTAAGCAACTTGAAAAATTCATTTGCAGATCACGATTAAGTCTTAGAATTATTTTTCTAACTTCCTAATTTTTTAGTAGGTTGTATTTTGGTAGACAGCATATTGTAATTGTATGTAAATTTGTACACAATTGTGTATAAATTGTGCATAAATCTTATATGCTTTGCCTTTTTAGCAGTATTGTAATACATTTTCAGTGTTGGTGTTTATGAAGAGATAAATAGTGTATTATTGCAAATGGTTAACTATTTGGATGCAATAAATTTTTGTAAACCTTTTTTCTTGTTCAAGCATTTAATTTTAATAATGTTACTTTTTTATATCATGAGAGTTGACGTAATTTGTTATTACAATATATAGGCTAGTTTGTAGCCAAAGAAGTTTTGAAATTTTGAAATTTAGGACGTAAATGCTTTTAATTCCCCTAACATACATACTTAAATATATTTGTGTGAAAGTTTTGCGATAGATTTAACTACTATTTACTTTTTCAGTTTTAAAGCTATGATAGCTTTTGAGGTCATTTAAGAAACTTAGTCATATCCTGAATATTTTAGTAAATGTGAATAAATTTCTGTTTTAGCATACTATTATGTAGCATCACTCATATTTGAAAGTAAATGTATACTATTATGAGACAGAGTGGTCTAACCTGTAAATTAATTACTATTTAATTGCATTTACTTAGTGAACAAGGACAAAATATTTTAGGTTGATCAACACTTGTATGTTTCTGGTTTAGCTTTTTATAAAAAAAAGTAGACTAATCATATATTTTGAATTTTATATAACTGAAATTTTATTTCAAATTTTTAGAGCTTAGGCTTTATGTGGTTTTTCAATGGCAGAATAATAATACCAAATAGGTTGCCAGGTTTTCAAATTTATACACGCAATTTTAAAGTAATATATTTGAATGTACCATTAGGATAGGGTTTCATTGGCCTTTCAAATACTTGTTAATTGGATTTTAAATTGGTTCTTTCTTTGAAAAGACATCCATTCATATAATTTATTTCAATTCAATAATTAGGCTGGCATTGAAAATACATCATAATTCCTTTATATGTTCAATATAAATGGGGATATTTTGACCAAACATTTTCTAATAATATCATATATTTTAATTTAATATCTGTACTGGGAATGAGCCTCAAGTAATAAGATAGTAGTGTGTTCAAGTGTTAACAGTATTAGTTTTGAGGTCATTAAACTAGGCTTGTCTTTAGAGACTGCGTACCGAACAATCACTGAAGAGACCATTTATCCCCAAAAAAATTATCTTTTGAAATTTCTTTATTCATTTATTTTGCAGGATGTGAAAAATATTTACAGTTGAACTTTTGAGAGCAAGAGACCAAATTGCTAGGTTTTTCTAAATTAGCATTCTTTCTCCTTGACAACTTTGATTAAGAGCTGAAATTTCTACATGGATGTCTGCTCCCCCAACAAACACGTTTATTTTATTGTTGAAATGTGCTTAATTGGGTCTAGTAATACTCCACATTTTTTCTCATAATTTCTCTGTGGGTGCGACTGAATGCTTTTTTTTTCCATAGAAGCTAAATTTGATATGGAGATTGCTAAAAAAAATTGCCCCATTGTTCTATTTAATTATATTGGGACAAGACCATAGCATTTTAAATTTCCAACTAACTATTGTTGTATCATTTGATAATAATTTTGCATTTCAAACTAGAAAATATGCTAATGATTTTTTTTTTCCTATTGGCTTGGTGTGGGTATTCTGTTGATGAAGGCTCTATACTGTTAATCTAGCATATTTTTGGAGGAAACTAATGATTTCTGGATGTTATTTATGCCTAAGAAGATATTTAATGATTGTTTACTTGATTTCAGCACAGTTAATGGCATGGGTATATCACAAGTCCCTTAATCATTTGATGTTCACTTTGCTTTCATTTTAAACACTTTTTCAAATGTCTTTCTCCTACACATGTTGTCTCTTCTCTATGCAAATTTGCTAAATTTGGAATTATTTTTTTCCTGATTTTTTTTGTGGTAGTTCTGTTTCGTTAGCAAAACTTCTTTGATTCTCCTTTATTGTACTTGAAAGACAAAGGTGGCATTTTAAATTAAGTATTTTACTTGTTTTTCCATTTGAGTAAGGGATTTAAATATCTAGCAATTTTATGGTAATTTTTTTTCAATTTCCTTTGTCTATATAGCGCAGGTAAGTATTGCAAGTCATTTAAGTACAACACAGGTGTCCAGCCAGTTGATAGGATCTACTTGTAGATATCTAAATTGGCTGTAGTTGTTATTGGCTTTCTTTTTTCTACTAGAATTCCAAGTAAGGAAAGACATATGATGTGTAGTGGTGACCTTTGTCCTTTTATGGTCAAAATTTAAACATTATAACCAGTGTTTCTTTCTTGTTCTCTGTTCTTTGGTGATATTGGAACTTCCAGAAAATAAGAAATAGGTCTTCCTCAAAAAAGAAAAAAAGAAAAAAGAAAAAGGAGAGAATTTGGATTGCTAGTGTTAGCAAAAGTGATTCATTTTTCTGACTTAATATCCTTTGTCTTTAACTTTGAAATTTCAAAATAAATTGAGATGAGTAATTTCTGTGTTTTCGTTTTTCAAGTATAAAAATATTGAACTAGTTATTTAATATGATCAAATTTCCCATATTAATTTGAATATGTTTTTTCTTGTTAAAATGCCTCTAAAACTGGTTTAAATTTTTGTATAAAATGAGGGAATACACATGTAATAATTCAGGTCTATTGAAACATAAGAGTCTGTATGAATTATTAATAACTGTGGGTTCTTAATTTCATAGTTTTTATTCTACTCCCAAGATTTTTTTAAAAAGTCATTTGATATTAATTTTCCTGGTACCCTCACCAAAAAGGATACAGAGCTGCTTTTAATTAACTACCCACATTGTAGGATTTGTGACTAAAAAAAATGTTTCAAACCATTGTTTAGCGTTTTGATTATTTGGCGACTTCATTATTACCTCATGAATTCTACTATTTTGG